TTCTGCTGTTATCTTTCTGCCTCACCAAGGTCTGAAAGCAATGGCTCCAGCTGACCATGGACTGAAACCTCTGAAACCATGAGCAATCCTGTTTCACTCAGGTATTTTGTCATAGCAATGGAAAGCTGACCAACACAGGCATTTTCTTTTGACTTATTATATGATATTTCATAAAACTTCACTTCATAAGACTTTGCTAAATGTAGCCTAAGCCATTGTAATGAATACAAATGTGAATTTACCTTATTAGACATCAATAATTATGAGCAAGTTATGGAAATTAAAAGCCTTATAATAGCATGGGTCTAAACACATAGACTAAGGCAAGATTACTTACCTATATAGTCATGTGCCACAAAAGAAAGTTTTAGTCAATTATTGGCCATATGTATATGATGGTGGCTCCATAGATTACAGTACCCAGTGATATCATCACAATCATAATCAATGATAAATATATGCTATGATGTATCTATAATGGTACAATATCTGAATGACATTTGTTGGAATGCATCCCACTCTCTATGAGGAGAATGATAGCATGCAAACGATACCAACAGAGGTAACATTACACGTAAGTGGAGACAAAATGTCCTATCCAATTAAGATTCCTGAGCAAACTCCATTTGGAAGAACTGCAAGTTAGAACCCTATTTGCACTCTACAGAAAGTTGTATTCCTGGATGATTAAAGTCATAAATATGAAGATTAAAACTTTGAAATTTTGTAGAAGCACATAATGGATAATTTCTTTATAAACTTGGAATACAGAAGGTTTCTCTGAACAAGACACATCAACTACAAACTATGAAAACAAAGATTGATAAATTTAACTACATTAAAATTAAAATTTTCTTTACAACAAAAGGCAGTCCAAATCAAGCAAAAAACAAACCGCAACCTAAGAGAAGATATATGTCATACTCAACCAATATCACAAGTATAAAGAGCTTCCTCAGAAAAGAAAGACAAACATCTCCTTTTTTCATAAATGACAAAGGATAAAGTGCTCAGCAGAACAGAAAACCTAATGGCAAATAGATATGAAAAAATACACCATCTCATTATTGATAGAGAAATAAGTATTAGCTCAACAACAAAATGTCTCTTTAACTTATGAGTTTTGCAAAAAAAAATTAAATTTCTCATTGTATGTGTGGGAGAGAATGTGGAATTGAGGAACTAAATATTGGTTATGGCAGTGTAAATTGCCACAGCCCTACTAATGGATATCGTCAGGCTACTGCCAATTTGAAGATGCCCAGCCTGGGACCTAGGTTCATATTCCCATATGCACAAAGACCCATATGTCACAATCTTCATTTCAGGCTGACAATGGTCAGAAAGAAATATAAAGACTCATATGTGGGCCAGGGATTTAGCTCAGTGGTCCTGCCACCTGCCTCACAAGTGCAAGGTCCTGAGTTAGATTTTCCAGTACCAAAAATGAAAGGAACAACAAAAAAAAGAGACTCATATGTGAGACACAGAGAAATTAAAATGAGTATCTAGATCTACATGCATCAATACAGACATAGTCCTGAAGTATTGAGGGGATTTAAGAAAGCGACAACTGTATCATATAATTTTAACTTGTTTTAGAAAGTAGAAGAAAATAATGCTATACATTACTTAAATGCCAAAACACAAAGCCATTGATTGGAAATATATACAAATCTCAAGGTTGTGGTTAATTGTAGGGTAGAAAGAAAAAAAGTACTGAGAGTCATTTCAAAAATATAGACAACATTTTTCTTATAAAAAATAAACAAATCTAAAAGAATATGTCAAAATGACAAAACTTATTATACTTAGGGTTAAATGTGCTTGGATAGCTGTATATTATTTTCACTGTGTTTGAAATTCAATCAGTTATTTGGCATGTTTGAACTAAAATCCATGTATGGATATTTTTAAATAAGATAAAATTTATATTAAATTGTTAAAAAGTTAAATAAAATACATTATGAAAAACAAATCAGTAAGGCTAAATGCCATGGTTGGAAGATGTATTCCACTTTAGAACAGCAAGAAGAGAAAGGAAGATGTATTAGGTTCCAACAATGTAGCCACATGACAATGGTTTTCCAACAACGTCCTTGCTACAGCTCATGGACACAGCTGGTTTCGCTGGACAGGTACAGACACACAGAAAGGCCATAGGCTCAGTCTGATGCTCCACTGTTGTCTTCCATTTTGCATATATAGCTGATCCTGCTCCTAGCGTCAAGAGTGGCAGTGGTACCCTGTTTTAAAGGATATGTTGTCTGTCCTCACTGGTTCACCACTTAAAGTGAATCTCCCATTTACCTGATTTACCAGACCTCTGCAGGCACATGCTTGCTGTCCATATTTTATAGCTTTGACTTGCCTCATACATCACAAGGTTTGCCATGATTTCTGGAATAAAAAAGAACCATCAATCCAGTCATCAATAACTCTGGAATTTGGTGTGTCCATGGTAGAAAGCTACATCCTACATCCTACATCCTAAATCCTGGGTACTAATTCTATTTGTATTCAGTGAAACTAATGCAATTAAGTAAATCCAATGGTCCAAGGACAGAAGCAGTAATGGTAGCACTTGTAGGTTGATCATGTAGGTTGCACTTAGATAAACACAATCTGATTGCATTAGCTCATTGTAGTAGCTCACACATCTAGATGAAGAATCTAGTGCAGTCCTTATTCATATAAAGGCATATTCTTAATTCAGGCTTTTGTAGATACTGATTATCCAATCTTCACTTTGGATACTTAAAATAATGTTAAAGAAAAACAATGCTAGATACATTTTTGTCTCTACAGCTCAAACAGAAGTGTTAATGCATGTGTTCGCTTTTGGAAGCAGATGCCATCTGGGAAAAGAAGTTCAGAGCTGCAGCCTGGTGCCTTCATGGCTGGTCTTCTAAAATCTCCTGGCCTCGTCTTGCCTCTTTGCCTTCCATGGACTTCTCAGGGAATTTAAGAGCAAGAGTTCCAAAGAAGGGCTTGTTGTGGGCACCAGGAGTGGAGGCTACTAGTTCTGGAGGAAAGACCTTGGCCAGTCAGAACTGAGGACAAGCCAAGAGCTTCAACTGTCCTTGTCCCTAGTGGCTCTATGGAGTCCAGGAAAAGAAGAATGTAATCCTTTCATGTCACTGACGAGATGTGAACCTGACATTACATGGGGAGGGGAGGAGGTATTTCCTTTTTTTTTTTTT